ATTTTGGATTGGTCAGTGCTCACCCCCAAACCTGTAATGATGTGCCCCAAGTACTCAATTTGCGACTATCCAAACTCACATGTGCTTAACTTAACAAATAACTTGTTCTCCTTAAGTATTGTGAGCATCACTTCTAAATGTTGAATATGATCTTCCATGGTTTTGCTATATATTAGTATGTCGTCAAAGAATACTAAAATGAATCGCCTTAACTGATCCTTGAATACTGCATTCATTAGGGACTGAAAAATTGCTGGTGCATTAGTCAACCTAAATGGCATGACCCTGAACTCCCATAGACCATGATGTGTTCTAAAAGCAGTCTTATATTCTTCTCCAGACTTCATTCGCACTTGATGGTAGCCTGCTCTTAAATCCACTTTGGAAAATACATTAGCTCCAAAAAGCTCATCCAACAAATCATCAATCATTGGAATCAAATATTTATTCTTAACAGTGAGGCTATTCAATCTCCTATAATTAATGCACAACCTCCAAGTTGAGTCCTTCTTCCTGACTAACAAGGCTGGTGAGGCAAAAGTGGATTGACTGGGAGTCAAAGTGGTAGCCTTGAGCATGTCATTAATAATGGACTCAATGGCATTCTTCTTATCAAAAGAATACTTGTATGGTTAGAGATTGAAAGGTTGAGCTCCAGACACTAGATTGATCGCATGATCACAAGTCTTCTCCGGTGGCAGTTCTGTGGGCTCCTGAAAGATGGCAGCATGGTTCTGTAATAATTTCCTGATGCCAGGATGCAACACTTCCCTCTCTTGGTTGTCCATACTATCATTTATCAGTGATAGTTCAGCTACAATATCACAGGTACCACAGTGCAACATTCTCCTTAAAGCTTTGGTGTCGACAGGGGTGACCTCCGGGTCCTTTTGAATTCCATACAATGTGATCAGTCTCTCATCACACATAAAACTTATACTGTGAGGTCTGGTGTGCAAAGTTATAGGCGTAACCATATCTATCCAATCCATCCCCAAAATCATATCACACCCACCCACTTTCATCAATTTCATCTTAAAATTAAATTGTTCACCCTGCTTCCTCCACCCAAAAGATGGTCTCTAGTTGGCAACTCATCAACTGCCCATTAGCCACTCTAATTCTCATGGGTCGCTGCATTGGTTGGGCTGGCAATCGAAGCAGTTTAACAATGTGGGGATCCACAAAAGAGTGAGTAGAACCACTATCGATTAAAATTGTCATGGGTAGTTTTCCAGCATAGCCTACAATTGTAATTGTAGATATGTGTTCACTGGAAGTACTCAGGCCCATTAATGCATTTAAGGATACTTCAGCTTGAACCTTACCTTCTTCCTCTAGAGTATCAGGTACATCCATAAACTCTTCAGGTTATTCCACTTTACCGTCCATTTCGACTACATCAATAGCATGTAACCCCTTCTTCTTGCATTGGTGACCCAGAAAATACTTCTCCTTACACCTATAACAAAGACCTTGTACCCTCAGTGTTTCCAAGTTAGGTGGTAAAGTGTTTGGCTTGAATGGAGCCCTAACTTGAGGTCTTTGATTATGATAGGTTATCCTCAATGGTGCTTGATTTGGAGGATGAACAATAGAGGGTCTTACAACATTTGGTTGTGGTTTCCTCGGATAAGTGATAGCTACTGGTCTTGGATTTGGAACAAAAGGAATAAGAACCTGGAATGATTCTTCATAAAACTTAGCAATTTCGTAAGCATCAAGCACCGTAGTAGGATTAGCTAATTTAACCAATGGCTTCAGTTTTGGTTTAAGATCACTGATGAAACTTACTACAAAGTGAGTTTCATTCAACAAGGGGTTAATTATAGACATGTAGCGAGTGAGTTCCTCAAACTTATCTTGGTATTGATCCACTGTCCTTATTTGTATGAGTTTGTTGAATTCGTCAACAATGTCCTGAGGTCTAATGTTTCCAAATCTCCTGCAAAGCTCAGTGCAAAACCTCTGCCATGTCAATCTTCCCCTATGGTTGACTAGATAGCTATCAAACCAAATATCAACCCTTTCCCCGAGGTGTACATATGCATAACTAAGCTTCTCTTGCTCCCCTATATTGTACAATTCAAATAACTTTGCACACTTCCTTAACCAGCTCCGAGGGTTCGTGCCATCAAATTCTGGGAAATTAATCATTGGTTTGAGTGGGCAATGAGTGAAAGCAGGTTCTGAAGTATGGACTATCACAGTGGGGAGTAAGGGGGGGGGGGTGAAGAATAAAGTGGGTTTCGAAACAAAAGAGGGCTTGAGAAAAGAGGAGCAGGTGGAAAAGTGAATCCCCAACCGACCTCGAAAGCATATGGAGTAAATGGAAGGTGAGAACCAACCATTTGAGGTGTAGAGCTTACCATTGGGAATTTTCCGGTTGAAGTTTGGCCAGTCTCTAGTCGAACCTGAGTTCCAGGACCCCATGTTGGTGTTGCCTGTGGAGATGAATCAGTCGGGGAGATGAGGGGAGAGCTCAAACTGTTCTACAATGCCATATTCAAAATGATGAACTCGAGCTTCTTGTTTGTCTCACAAATCTCACCCAACTGAACCTGAAACTGTAATTCATTCAGCTCAAAGGTTTCAAAACGTTTGCCCACATCCTCCACAAAGACTGAGAGTTGACTGCGTACCATGCAGATATCATCCTGCAAGCTTTGCAACTCCGGTGGCGACGCCATTATGGGAATCGTTGAAGTACCAAGTGGCTCTGATACCATTGTAACAAGAGCTCAACTCTTGATACCTAAATTAATAGAAGGAAGAAAAGGAAGAGGAAAACATGAGAACAAGAGAGAATTCTTTTGATTCAATAATAATTTTCTCTTAGCAGAGTAGTACAATTTGTATACAACAATTCTGACATTTCTGTTGCTAAGGATAGTTGTCCAATTCTCTAACATAATTGAAGACTAGTACCACAATTGCAATTAACTAAGCTTAAGGACTAATAAGTAAATACTTAATACTAAAATAAAGGGACTGAATTAACTTATTTAAAACTTAATTAAAAAAATAGTCACAATTGCTAATTGTGACAGTAGAGTCTCTGGGGGCTTTGAATTAAATGTGACATTAAAGTGTCAAAATAAAGGGGCGGTGACATAAGTCTTAATTATTCAGTGTAGGTGACAATTATGTGATTAATGATTAAGAATTGTGGAGTTGCCCTCAAATTTATAAGTTGGCAGTGTGGTCCATTGAATTAAATGAGGGGTAAACGGGTAAATCACTAAAACCTAATTTAACCAATTTTAGTGGGAATCAAAATTGGAGGGAAGCCACCAGCGAGCTGTATCAAACGGGTGGAAATAAAACATTTTTCCCCAGCCTCCCCCCGTATTCCTTTTCCTATTCTTCTTCTTCTGCTTTGTTCTTGCTCTCTTGTTGCTTGCTTGCTTGCTTTTATTCCCGTTCTCTTCATCATCATCTTCTTCTTGTTCTTCTTCTTCTTCTTCTTCTTCTTTTCGTACATTGTTGATCTTGGCTGCTAGTCCTTGAGCTATTTTCTTCTTTTTTTCATCTTCTTGAATCAGATTTAGCTAATCTAATCAGTGGACCAAATTTCGTTTTGTATCAATTGACGTTACTTCATAAGTGATTGGGTTCACACACCATTGTTTTGGAATGTAAAATTAACAGTTTTTTGAAATCATTCATCATCATTTGGTTAGCCGCAAGTTTTTCAATAATTTGCATTCGCGTTTCCAACAGATGGCTATATATGTAGCAACAAAAAGGTTATTTCAATCGCAACAGAATAGTCATATGTTGCAACATATGACTTATACATTTTTTCACAACATGTGATTTATGTTTCGCAACAGAATAGTTATATGTAGCAATATATGACTTACATTTCGCAATATCATAGCGATATGTTGCTACATATAACTTACATATGTTGCCACAACATATAAATTATATGTAGCATCATATGACTTACATGTCGCCACAAAATAGTCATATGTTGCAAAATATGACTTATATGTCGCCATAGAATAGTCATATGTTGCAACATATGACTTACACATGTTGTCACAACATGTGATTTATGTTTCTCAATAGAATAGTTATATGTAGCAACATATGACTTACATTTCGCAACAGAATAACCATATGTTGTGACATATAACATACACATGTTGCCACATGTGATTTATTTGTCACAACATATCAGTTATATGTAGCAACATATGACTTACATGTCACCACATAATAGTCATATGTTGCAACATATGACTTACACATGTTGTCACAACATGTGATTTATGTTTCTCAATAGAATAGTTATATGTAGCAACATATGACTTACATGTCACCACATAATAGTCATATGTTGCAACATATGACTTACACATTTCTTCATTAGTACTAATTATTTTTTTAATTAATTTCTTCAGGTACAATAAATGGAGGGATTATTTGTAGGGATTGATTGTCGTGGTGAATGGGTCGAGAAGAAAAATCGATACATTTGGCGTTGGAAGAATGGTAAGAAACAGGGAGGGTCGGTAGGGATGACCGTCGAAATAAATATTTTGTATGATAATTTTGTGAATTTAGTCATGCAAAAATGTGGATACAATTGTCAACTGAAAGAT